CCTTGCTTGGATAACATGCTGTTAGCATAATCCAGTTTTAATTTCTGTTAATTAACCGCCATAAAATGTTCTCGAAAGTCCTTTTATTTATTTTTTAGTAATTATTCGTATTGGAGTTCGATTATATGAGTATTCACACGTACATCTAAGTTCTCGCATTATAGAGTTTATATTTCAATTTTCACTTGTTGTAAAAGTATGTTTGAATTAGGACAGCAAACAAAGAAACTTCTGATTTGCAGCAATTTCTTTTTTTAAATTACTCAAATTCTTTCATTATTCGAAATTACTAACGAATATGTTTGGTTAGTGTCTATAAACTTTTTTGACTCCTTGAATAATGTTTGATTCTCATATAATGGTTTTTTTGAAGAAAAAAAAAAAACTTTGAGTTCAAACATAGAGGTTAATAAAAGAAAACAACAAAAAGATATCATGAAATAAAGAAATACTGTATTATTGACTGCTAGATTGATAATTCAGTGATGATGATGCAAAAAACAAAAATTAAAAAAATGGATCTGGTAAAGAAAATTAAAAGGTGGAGATCGAAGCCTAGACCATGGATAATTAACCAACTGAGCTACTCAGACTCCTAATTATTATAGTTATAGTTACATTTTTCACCTTTCTGGCATAATATTTTCTGCATTTCTTTGACAAACATGAGATTTTACTAAAACATGTAAAAAGAAAAGGGGGTGTCAATAAGCTCTCTTTTAATCATTCACTTCCATTGTTACAAGATTGCAGAGAAGGATGTTGCAATATAAATTTGTTGCATTGTGGTCTTTGAGTAACTATATTTATAAATCATGTGTATAAACATAGACAGAAAACATCATCTTGACAAGCTACTGCTGTTTTATGGAACCAAATAGTTCCTTGAATGAACGTTTATGGGCTTCAGTACGAGCTACTATCTCCAGGACTTTGTAATGAGATTCTGGATGGAGTAATGCCTCAACTGCTACTTCAGCTACCTGATCTCTAGATATTGAGCCTTCATAAAGGGTATCCTATATTTTGAAGGAAAAGCAAGGAGAATCTTAGGAAAACCATATGGCACACATATACGTAACTAAACAATGAGTAAGCTGCATATTGCTACCTCTTGTTCCATTACGATGTTTCCTTGAGGTGGATCGTTTTTTAGCCCACCAGGCCTTATTATTGTGTAATTGATGCCAGATCTCCGAATATATTGCTCTGCTTGGAGCTTTGCTATCAATGTCAGTCCAAGAACATTGAGAAATACATATGCTGGATTGAACAACTGGCCCATTGCAGCTCCATTGACCAGAATGGAACTAACAAGGAGGAATCTTTTAACACCAAGTGTTCGGCATGCTTCAACAAGGTTTACTGTGCCAAAGTTATCAACCTGAAAGAATGGTACACTAGGGATTAAACAATAGTAGTGGAAGGACAATACTTCATAATTCATCAAAACCCCACCAAAATAATAATTAGGGTGGTGAGCCAACAACTCGAAGATCTGATAATTGCTTCATAATTTACTTTAGTAGAATAACCAAGAGAAGGTTGTGAGTTTAATGATCTGGAAGGCAAGACATCAACAGAGGCCTTTTTGGCCATACTAAATGTGTAGAAGGAACATAATAGAATTACCAGACAAATTTAAGGTGAAAGCAAGCCAAGGAAATAAGATGATATATGTTTGCACCCTATACATTTTAGAACATTTCCAGTCTTGCTCTCAAGTTTTTGCTTGAAAACATTCGAGAAGCCTTCTCAACTTTTCGATTGTATTAAGCATTCAACACCTAAGCAAACATCAGAACCGATATGATGTTTGCTTCATCTGTGGAACGGACAGATAAGTATACAAAATAACTTTTTCTCGAAGCTCCCACAGGTTACTTCTTTCATTCTATTAAAATTTCTGGCATTAGCTTATTTTGTTGTGCCTCTGGAGAACCTCAATCACATATGATCTCCAATCCAGTTGAGAGCTAGGGAAGGAAATCAAGAATGGTGCTTTACTTAACAGGCAAGGAATTCTTTCATAAACCTGAAACATGACTAACGGTTTCAACAATAATTGATTTTCTGACAGTAGATCCATTCTGAATTCAACCTAGTAGGCCTTAACCTGCTTAACCGCGCCATTCTTGATTCCTGTTTTCCAGGCGTTATAACAGGCATTATTATGGAGCTAAGATCTTAGAGGTTAAATTGGTGTACTAAACTGTTCAAATTTGAAATTAGCTTAAATGGCAGACCTAGGGTGGATTAATAGTAGCACAAAAAGCTGGGGAAAAAGAAAAAAAAAAGAAACAATTGGCACCAACAACCCCGCCAGAGAAACAATTGATAATAACAGCCTGCTCCCCTGGATTCTGAGAAAAGAATGAAAAGTTTCTCCATAAACAGAAAAAAAAAAGTATTAGTAACATGAAACTGTTCAGTCTTCCATTTACTTTCTGCAGTGTAGACAAATCTTCAATGGAATGAAGTTTCTTTAACTCGAAAGACCCTATCTACCATATGGAGTGTCAGCAGCAATATCTTGTGGTAGCATACTCATAAAAGTCTCAATTGTGAATCTTAAAAGAACAAAAAAGACTTTGTAATATTTTTCCAATGCCAAGAATGTGCGCATGGGTAGCAACGGTGGAAAGGGTGTCATCATGTAAAGAGGCTTCTCTAACTGAAATTAGTTATGGACTCTTGACAAACTTAATCAACACTTCTTTCTTTTGTTTTCATCTTATTAATTATTATATTTTTCTTTTTCCTTTGAGCGGTTTGCCTATCCTGCAATTCATGTTATTATAAAGATCATCCAAATGAGTCAATCAGTATTTCATAAAGAGAAAACATAACCATAAAATTTCAGAAATGATAAGTAAACTGCTAAGTTAGAAGTAAAACAGGATGGCAAGGTAGCAAACTAACCTTCCATGGAGCCAAAAAATCCAGTGAACGCCGAAATCCTGTAGCACATATTACTGCATCTGAATCATTCCCAATGGCATCAGCTAGTCTTGCTGATCCCTCTGTGACATCCGCTTTCACCTGAAAATAACATATTAGAATTGATTTCATCATTTCAAGTGAAATAACTCAAAGGTTTACAAAATAAAAGTGAACATTATACTTCATAGTTAGCTCTTCACTTACATTCAAAAGCAGCTTTTCCCTGATTTTTTTTCAATTACATTTGCAATGCCTTTTGTTTGAAAAATAAAATCCAATTACTTTTTATACTAAACTATCATATTTTAAAGGTTTTGACATAATCTCCAATTTTAATCCTTTTCTATCTAAACTACAATAAGTATCACCTGAATACACCAGCCAAAACAAACTCTTTAAGTTGATGGAGGAGTGTAAGCAAGATCAAGCAGAATAAACAAGCTACATATTTGTTCAAATTGAAAGACAAAAAAAAACAGAATTGGACAAATAACCCAATATATAGTAGGTAAAATTTAAAGGCATTTCCCCTATTAACAAAACTTTCTTTGAGCTTAACATCTAACCCTTAAAGTAGCATACTTGCTGCATAATCAACTACTGATTGAGCAATTAACTTCTATTAATTTCTAAAAAGTTAACTTAAAATAACAAAAAATGAAAACAAAACCCACAATTTGAAGATCAGGGTTTTGACCCGGTAAGGTTGATTTAGCCTTATCAACATCAAGAACCCCAGCCTTAACAGCAAAACCCTTTGCCAGAAGCTGTTCAACAATCCGCTTCCCAGTGTTCCCAGTCGCACCAGCAACAAATATTTTCTTCTTTTCACTGATACCCACTTCCTCTTTTCCTTCAATTTCACTTCCTTCTATCTGTAATCAAACAAAATACAAAACCAAAATGACTTACCCCACAAATAGCAGAAGCATATTTTCTTGAAATATCACGTAATCTTGAAAATTGAAGGAAAAATGTAATCTTTTTTATAGAGAAGAGACTTACATTTGCTGCTCTGAGTCGAAAAGAGTGAACTTTATTGACAAGAAGAGAAACAGAGGGCCGTTTAGAGGTAACAGAAAAGGCAGAGGTTGTAAGGAAGAAGAGACCAGTGGCAGTGGCCATGATTTTTCTAATTTTTCCCCTGCAAATTAACATAAATTTTCAGTCATAATACTTCTCCAACTTGTTTGGTCCCATGAATCATTATCTTTTTTCTTTCATTATATATTTTGTTTTTTGTTTTTTTTTATTTCAATAAAGTTTTTTTCTTTATTCACTTCAGAGTTGGGACTAATTGTTCATATTTTTATGAAAGAATTCTTATCCTATAAATTTTCACATTATATCTTGGTTTATCGCTGAAAGCGTAATGTGAAACTATTATAAAAAGGATCAAATAATAACGGAATTCTTTAGTGAATATATTGTTATGGAGTAGTAAATATTTGGTTTGTTGAATTAAAAATGTAATATACATGAGCTTTCTTAAAAGATTCTGGGAGAAAAGCATTTTGTCCTTTTGTTGTGATTAATAATTATTATCTCACATTGAGTGAGATATAATAATATTATAATTGTGATATAAATAATTTCGGATTTGCTAACAATATGCATTTGGAGTTTCTTGTTACTAAACTTGTCATCACATAGATATATATACAAAGTGATCTTTGCAATGTTGGGAATTAATTAACCTTACGATTGTATGGAAAAGCGTTACTGCTTGGGGTGAAAGCCGATCAAATTCTTAAGGTTAAAAACTAGCTCCTCATTGATTTTTCACCTTTTGACGTTCTTCAATGTAATCTCATAAATAGAGGTATCCAAAATCACATAGCACAAACCTATATACATAAAAACACTTGGTATTAAAAAAAAAAAAAAGTTCTCTTCTCGTTTGACGTTTCTCCTTACATTTCTTGTTTGCTCTCATTTTGTAACATTCCATGTATACTGCTCTTACAAATGTTTCTTTTTTAACCTTGGTGATTAAGAGGATGACCAAGTGAAGTTCAGCCTAACTCAGCCAATAACGTTGAATTGCAACTTTTCAGTCAAAGGAGACAACTTCTGGTTAAAGTTAAATAGCTGGTAGTCATCATAAATTGTACATTACATAATGCATTACCCATTTGGTTTTCCTAAAACAGAAAAAGTAAGATTCATATGCTTCATCAGATCTACATCTGAATGTCAAAGTGGGGATAGATAGAGGAATACCATAATACTACCAGAAATATAAGAGAAGTTATGGCTCAATAACAAGTGGTGTATTCCCATATAGTTTAGGCTTTGGACAATCCATCAGAAAGGAGACAACTGCATTTGGAGCTCCAATTGGGACTGATTTACATGAAGTAAACTACATTGGTATCACTGTGTACCCACAATTGGCCTTTCTCTTCCATCATCTGCACATTAGAGCACTTTCCCTGTTAGCTGTTATACATTCAAAAACTACTGTATCCAACTGATGCACATTTCAGTGTTGCCTACTTGTGAAAAAAGAGGTAATATACACATACGTTTGGAACTCAGGACATCAAAGAAATTTGTAATCGAAGGACTTGCATACCTTTAATAATTTCTCTATCTCCGCCTTTGAGTAAGGTACAGTCGCCCCATTGTTGACAACATTCTCCACATCAGCAACTGGAAGTTGTTCCACATGTTGTAAGTTCCTGTGCCTACCAAGTGCTGCACTGAATGCTTGCAATCTGCAAGTTCAGAGATGTTAGATTCCATAATTGACAACCCCGGAGTACAAGGAAATGCATTCAATGATCAATTAGTTAATTACACAGACCTCTCAGGAGATGTGCTGATTTCAGCTGCTGGAGTATCATCAGTTTCCATCGCTTCACTACCACTTTCCAAAAGAATACAAAAGAACACTTTAGAAACATAAACATTAGAAGGAAACATCGTAATAGATAAAACAAACAAACACCATATAGATAGATCATCAAAGTAATTAAATGTGAGGAAGTTGCAATTTACTTCTGTTTACTTGATGAAAGAACTTATCAGTTATCAGAAAACCACTTGCCAAAAAACATACCTGCAGATAAACAAGATATCTCCAAGACTAAAAAATATTGATGATAGCTGAACTATGTATATTTTATAGCTAGTAACTCACCCAACTCCCCCGGCTTCATGATCAGCTGATTCATCACCTGCATCATGCTCAGCTCTGCGTTTACGAGCTGAAGCATTGTTACCGCCATCATGGTCAGCACTGCGCTTCTTCCCCAATTCCTTTGCTCTCTCTTGCTCACGTTCCTCCATCTCAGTCAGTTCTTGATGATATATGGCAAAATGTAGAACTTGAAGAGCAACTTCTACATCAGACTTCAAAACCTGCCAGAAAAGATATGGAAACAAATTTTGAGTAAAAAAGAAGATCCATACAGTGCAGATAATCAAGGAAAGAATGAAACCAGAAAACTCAATTTTGGTTATTACCAAATTCATTGATTAAAGTCAAGAACTGGTCAATTTCTGTCGATGATGGTTTTTCATATTCAGTGGACCTCTAATCCTAAGCAGTCATATGTGGGGAACTTCAATCCTCCTATATAAGACTTGTAATCAAATAAGTTCTCACCTGTCTTCTCAACTTCAGCTTGGCATGGGCAGTTGAGAGCCGAATAATTGTTTCCAAAGTTCTGGCAGTAATTGGAAGTGTTCCTCCCCCAGTCTATTGGAAATTAAGACAAATCAATTACATCACACAAATAACATAACAAGATAGTTATCTGGATATCAGACATAAAATACCAACCTTTGCATTTGTACTGGCACTCCTAAGCTCGGCATAAGCAGTAGCTATGTTATCAGATGCCTACAAATGATTATCATTATAAATATCAGCAAGAGAGCAGTACATTGATCAAGGTTCACGTGAGATGAAGCTAAGATATGACCAAGGTTTATTACAGCTTAATCTTAAGGAGTATTTCAAAATTCAATTTCACAAGGCATAAAAAAATTAATCCTGCAAGAAAACGCAATGATGCTATGCAATTGCACAAGTTACACTTAATTACCTCATCAGTCAGCTCAGGATGGATCCTGTTTTTTGCGTAATGAATGTAAGTCTTGAGAAACTGGATGGTCAATGTATCCTTTTTGCTCCGAGTTGAATTTCTACCATGTAGCATCCGATTATACTTAACATAGACGGGCATTTCATCCTTGTCATTTTGCTCTTCATATCTTGAATCATTATCTAGTGTTGAGCTACCTAAAAGGTAAAATAGATTCACTTCATTCATACAAACTAGGATAAGGCAATGCATGAAGATTTTCAAACATAACTGCCAACCTACCTCCATCTATTGGAGAACGATACCGATGCATGCGCAAAACATGCTCAGAAATTTGACGATCAACCCCAGGATCCATTTGATCCAGAACAATAAACAACAAATCAAAACGAGAGAGCAGTGAGTCTGGAAGTCCAATGTTCTTCGTTGGAGTTAATGATCGATCATACTGTAAAAAACGAGATGGTATAGAAAAGTTAAATGATACATAACTTAAGGCTATTACACATTTAGATGGACCTGTTTTGAAAAACTTACAGAACCATATATGGGATTTGCAGCTGCAACTACACTGCATCGAGCATTCAAGGATGCATGGATTCCTGCTTTAGCAATGGTTACAGTCTGCTGTTCCATAACCTCATGTATAGCAACTCGATCTTGATCATTCATTTTATCAAACTCATCAATGCAAACAACACCTCTGTCGGCAAGTACCATGGCACCAGCTTCTAGCCTTCTTTCTCCTATTTCCAAGTACATATTTGTCAGTTTACTTCACATACAACGTAGATTCTGCTTTTGAAAAAAAGTTACCTGTTTCTTGATCAGAAGTAACTGCAGCTGTCAAACCAACTCCGGAAGAACCACGACCAGTAGTTGATATTGCTAATGGAGCAATATTCATAATTGCTCTCAGTAGCTGAGACTTTGCAACAGATGGATCACCAACCATCATCATGTTTATATCACTAAATACAGTAAAAATGGTTGTTGTGAGACCTCAAGAATCAATCTCATATAGAGGAGTTACAGTACATAAAAAATTATGATAGTTGTCTGAATGAACTAGAAGCAGTAATGTCTTCATTGGTGCTAAGTGCTAAGGACAACAAAAGGTAGCCTGACCAGAGGTAAAAGAGTTATCTTACCCTCTCAAGTGAGTTCCATTTTTCAAGTTCTTTTCAATTCCACCAAGCATGAGCAGAACAACTGCTTTCTTTATCCACAAATGCCCATAAATAGATGGTGCCAGTGAATTAGCAAGAAGATCAAAAGTATCATCTTTAACAGATATATTCTTGATGTCTTTAAGGACTTTCTCTGTGTAGTTTGGTGCATTTGCTGACTTGTTCAGGAGAGACACATTGTTACCTATGAGGATTGTTCTGCACAACAATATCGATGGACAGGATTACATACAGAAAACAACATTTAACTATTCTGAGGGAAATAAAGCAGTATGTTACTTTAAACACACACCTGAATACACCATTCATGCTTCCTTGGCTTTTACTAGGAAGAGCTTTATATACCCCAACAACTGCTACACGGTCTCCAGGCTTGCATGAATCAACAAGATCATCCTCTACGACAATATCCACTGTTCTAGGAAGTTGACCAGGAGCAGAATTTTCAGGCACCTCTTGCATTGATAAAGTTTGATGATCTTTATATGTGCATAAACCATACTCAGTAACTAGCAAATTGCCATTATCATCCTGCAACATAATCACTCTTGTAAAATTTTGTTTTGCTAAACAAATAAGGCCAAAACTGAAACCTATATCAGTTCATCATTACCCGTGTCGGGTACACAGAACCAGTTGGCAGACCAACATTAGATGTGATATCTCTGTATTCACGGGCCGTAAATTTCTCAGTTGTCGGACAAAAGTGGACGCTCTTTACAACCTTTGGCCTCACAAGAGAACCTATAGATATTGAAAGTAGCAGCTTTCATTAATAATTTTTATTAAAAGAGTCAATTACAAAGTGGCATCCAAGCTAAGGCTCAATATAAAACAAGAAAATGATTTATAACTCAAAAAGTGGACGCAAGCTAAGGACTAAATATAAAACAAGAAGATGATTCATGACTCAAACTTCAGCTGATGACAGATGAAATCTGTCCTAGCATCAACCTATCTCATGTTTCTCTTTGACTAGAGAATGAAATTTAGACACATAATTCAGTTATAAACAACAAGAAATAACAGAATATGTGTTTTATATTAGCAAATACTTCAGATTGCAAATATGAGCAGGAAAAATCAAGCAGAAAATGGATTTTAATAATGAAACAAAGCAACAGAAGACAGCACAGTCAAACTAATGATGTTTGGCATATTTTATTATCTTATTGCTTGATATCAATTCTCTGTATTTATTGTCCTTTGATGTGCTTTTGAATTTGAATATGCCCAACTATGCTTAATCATATTAATTTGGTGATGTAGGAAGCTAAAGGATAAAATTGGTTTAGTTTTGGAAAACAAATATGCACAACTGGTTGAAGTTCCAATTCTTGTACTAAACTTGGCAATGGCATGAGTACATATATGCGTATCAGGAAGAAGGAAGCTTGCAAATTATTGGCCTTACAGTCCATTTAGAAGAAAAGGCACAAGTATACAGCGCAGAAGAAACAAGGGCCACTCTCCAGTTGCACAATTGCACCACTATGGAACCAATTCTGATAAGCACAAGTCCAGTACTTTATGCTACATTGTGCTAACAGTACTTTATGCTGACACTTGTGCTAACAGCTTAGTATCCATGACATGCAATCTTTTCCCAGTTCCACACCAGCAAACTGCACACTGGTTACTGAAACTACCAAACATCTCAAATGCTTATAACGTGATGCATTCAAGGAACATAATAATCACCAATAAAAATGGATATAATAGGTAATCTCATGTCCAATCCAGCTATTTAGAAATCACTAATCCTTCTTAGTTAATCAATTAAACCATATAATACTAGAACTACAGTCCTAGAAAGTCCAGTTTTCATCATCCCTTTACTAGCAACTGGTACTGATATAGACATGGCCCATTACAAGCAAGAAACTACTATATCACCATAACTTTATTCACTGGACATATACATGTCTTCCCCTGTCAAATGGACATGAATATATTTCAGGTCATTTCAAATGAAAATTTGCTGCTAACATACAGCTGTCAAACACATATCAGTTGTATCATATCACCCAAACCTTTGCGGCACAGTGTAAATAACTACCCACCAGGTAAATAGTTCCCCATTTTCATTGCTTTTACCATTATAGAAGCATTTTTTTTTAAAAAAACATTCATCAAAGTATTCACCATAGACCCCAAATCAGCTATACTCACAGTACAAAAATGACTCAGAAATGTATTAGGCCTTCCTACTGACTCATTAACTTTGGAGTGAATCTAAGGCACATCATTAAAAATAAATTCAGTGGCCCAAAGTAAATATGGTTAGTTTAAGATCTATATAATACACTGGCATAATACCACAGTCAAAGTAGATATGAGCTAGAAATGAGCGCTATAAGCAAATTCAGAAGACGTACACTTAGTAACAATGCCTTCAACACAGACCATGGAACCAATGAAACGGGACAACAGCTCTCTTGGGGTTACTCTCCTCGAAACAAAAGGACCAGTAAACCCAACCAAGACTTGCTCGCCTTCTTTAAGGTACTTGGGATTATGGGTCCGAATCATATCGGTTAAAGCATCAACCAACGGTTGCATATACTCACTTGGATTCTGAAGAAGCCTACACAATTCAAGAAAAGAAGAAATTTACAAACTGAACCACCAATATCAATAACCCCAGGTAAACTTCAATACTTGGAAAATATCAAAAAACTCGTCTTTTTCAATATTTTTCCCTCAAATTTGCACCTGAAAGCAAAAAAACTAGAAAAACCACACCAACAAGCCTAGATAGTACTTCAATTTCAAAACACAAACCCAAAACCACTCTTGATTTTTTCCTCGAATTATACAAGCCAAAAATGACATCACTAAAATTAATGAAAAGGATTAAACCTGCGAGCCAAATCAGAGCCTTCTCTGTCATTGTAGAAATCAGAGAGGTCCATAATGACACGACGCCTATTGTTGTTGATCATAGATTCAAATTCCTTCTTCAGCTCCGTGTCCAATTCCTACAAAAATAAAAAACGAATCAACAAAAGAAAAAACAAACAAATACATAATTACAACTCGGAGTCCGTCAAATTAAGCAAATTATATCAAGTAGATAACACGCGAAGAGAGAGAAAAAAAGTAGAAAATACTTACAGTTTGTTCAAAGAACTTGAGGAAAGTTCGCTTATGCGTAGCCCTAACCTCGTCGCTTAGATCCATTGCTGACTGAGAAAGGGTGAATCTCTGTGTGTGTGAGAGAGAGAGGGAGAAAAAGAGAGAGGAGAGTAGAGCAGAGCAGAGAGTGATGATTGATGAAGGTCAAGATTGGGAATTTTCCCTCTATTTTTGGAGTTAGGGTTCGGATTTTGGCGGGAAATGAAGGGTTGAGGTTGGCGGGAAGGAGAGCCTTTTGTTTTACTCCATCTTCTTCTTTTTTTTTAACAGTCCAAAAGAATGTGTATTAGCATTGTTATTACCAGTATACTCGTACTATTTTAAAAACGAAAAATACGTAGATTATACTCGTAATTTAGTAATGCCACGTCTTAAATGACACAAAAATGTGTGTACCTTACACCAATCAACTTCGAACGGGTTCAGAGCTATGGAGAGGAGATGAAAATTCACTCAGATATAATAGGAAATATTTAAATGTTAGTGAAATTTTAATATGTAGCTAGATTTTTTTTGGACAAGTTCAAAGTGCAATTTATAATTTTTTTCTATTTAGGAATTAAACATTTTCTAAAGTATTTTAAGAATCAAACAATTTTGATTCGTAATAGCCTTATGCACTTCTTGGTAATATATATTTTAATTCAAAGAATAAGAAATTGAGGCTTATTCAATGATTTTGAACACTTGTTTATCGTTGTAGTTTGAATTACATAATTTCTTTTAGAACAAGAGTAACTCTACCAATAAAGATTGGACAAATTTTTTTATTAAAAAAACATCTATTATCTCTTTGTTAATTATTTCTACTTTGGTTGATATATATCATGTGTTACTTGTCCTCGATGAACTCTTCTTGGTTCGTATGTAACAAATATGTCCTGGCATTATTACATGTGGAAGCCATCAAATGAAAAGAGGGGGCATTCTGTTTTTTGTTGGAATTATTGATGATAAACAAGGAAAGGAGATATCAAAGGGAGAAAAGACAAACAAGCAGACAAGAGCTTCATATTTGGCTTTGATCTCATCGGAAAAGTCTAATCCTTTCATATGGTCTGAAAAGGACAAAAGGGTGGTACACTCTGGGTTGAAGAATTGTTTTAACATTGGGCTAGCTAAAAGCCCATCTCAGATAAAAGAAGTCATCAGACCATTTCGTATAAATGGCCCAATAGACAATAGATATGCATATGGCTGAAATATGCAACATACATACATAGAAAAGGAATAAAGTTTGTTATAGATTAAGCCAATTAATCTTGTACATCTGGCATAGCAGTTAGAATAGAAGGTTCATTTTATTTCCTCTTTTGTATATAAATATAGGATCAAGAATTGTAAATTGGATCGATCAATATACACAGAAATTTTTCAAGTCCTGTTTGCTTTCTTTCATGGTATCAGAGCTTACCTATTAATAAATTCTCTAATCTATCACCCTAAGCAACAGAAATGCCTGATTCTGTAGTCTCTACTGGAACGACAACTGGTAGTACTAACACTACTCCTGGAATTGATTTCAATCACCCCTATTTCCTCACAAACTCAGATGCACCGGGTATGACCCTCGTTAATGGTATCTTTGATAGCAAAGGATACCAGGCATGGAAGAGATCTGCATTCATTGCCCTTTCAGCAAAGAACAAGCTGGGTTTCATTACAGGGGATCAGCCTGCACCAGCTGTTGGTTCTTCAGATCTGCATCTATGGAGCAGATGTAATGACATGGTTACTTCATGGTTGCTCAACTCTCTCTCCAGGGAAATTGCTGATAGTGTGATTTACTCCAGATCTGCTAGAGAACTTTGGCTCAGCTTGGAGCATCGATTTGGTCAGTCAAATGGTGCTAAACTCTTTCACCTGCAAAAGGAATTAAGCAGGTTAGTTCAGGGAAACAATAACATAGCAGGATATTTCACTAATCTTAAAAGACTCTGGGATGAACTAGACTCTTTAAATTCAAACATCAAATGTTCATGTGTGTGTGTCTGTCAAGGAAAACATAAAATGGAGAAATCTATGGAGGATGAAAAGCTTATTCACTTCCTTATGGGGCTCAATGACACTTATGCTCAGGCTAGAGGAAACATCTTAATGATGAATCCACTTCCTGACATCAACATTGCATACTCCTTGATCTTGCAAGATGAAAATCAGAGGGAGACTTACATGAGTCCTTTTATGCCCTCTGATTCATCATCTTTCATGGTGAATAGTAACATGAATCAGCATAGAGGAAGGCAGCCTCAACAATTCACTGGTAACACATTCAGATCTGGAAATACATATCCTAGAAATGACAACTCACAAGGCTCACAGAAACCTCAAAAACAGTTTCAGAAATTCAAAGGAAAAAAAGGAAAATATGATCCTAATGCAAACTGCACCCACTGTGGAAAGAATGGACACTTGAAGTTGAACTGTTATAGATTGATTGGGTTTCCAGAAGACTTTCAGTTTACAAATGAAAAGGGAAGTCATGGTCAAATAAGAGGAAATGCAGTGGTCAACATGGAAGAGGCAGAAGTTGGATCCACTACTCATGCTATCAATCAACATTTCACTCAGGAACAAATCAATTTTCTGTTTCAAAATGGGAAAGAGCTACTTCAAGCTTTCACACAGATGAAGGTGGAAGATAAGACCAACTTCTCAAATGCTTCTGAGATCAATGCAAATGTTGTAGCTGGTACACTAATGAAGTATTTTGGTTCCTGTTTCTCTGTTTTCAATTCAAATACATGGATTGTAGACTCGGGTGCTTCAGAACATACGTGTTTTAATCCTGATTCTTTCTTATCTATGTCCCCCCTTACAGTTCCTCTAAACATCAATCTTTCTAATTCAGAATCTATCAATGTTACTCATACTAGTGTTGTATGTTTGTTTTCTGACCTAATTCTGACTAATGTCATCTATGTTCCTAGTTTCAAATATAACTTACTATCAGTTCATAAGTTATGTTGTCAATTCAACCTTTCAATCTTTTTCACTTCTAATGAATGTCTACTGCAGGGCCTTTCCATGAAGAATCCTCAAGTTTTTGGTAAGGCTAAGGAGGGTCTCTACTTGCTTCAGCCAAATCCTAAGAAGTCTATTCTTCAGTCAACTGATTCCCAATCTGTTTCTTTTCCTTTTTCTGTTTGTTCTAGTGCACTTTCTGATGTAAAGTTGTGGCACATTAGACTTGGGCATCTGCCTTTAACATCAATGAAAAATGTCAGTTTCATTTCTGTTCCTTCTAGTCTTGATTGTTATTGTGATATTTGTCCACAAGCTAGGCAATCTAGGCTTCCCTTTCCTATCAGTCTTAATAAATCTAAATCCAAGTTTGAGTTAATTCATGTTGACACCTGGGGGCCTACAAGGTACCAACTTATAATCATCATAAATAATTTCTTACTATAGTTGATGACTATAGCAGGGCTACTTGGGCATATCTATTGGCTAGTAAGAGTAACTCGTTTCATGCTTTGCAGTCTTTTATATAAATGGTGCACAAATAGTTTGATGCAAAGGTAAAGATAGTGAGATCAGATAATGCTCTTGAGCTAGGGAAAAGTGAAGCAGGTCTCTGTTTCTTCAACTCCCTTGGCATAATTCATCAGACCTCTTGTGTTGCTTCCCCTCAACAAAATGGTATTGTTGAAAGGAAGCACATACATCTACTTGAGACTGCCAGGGCACTTATGTTTCAATCAAAAGTTCCTATGATTTATTGGGGAGAGTGTATCTTAACAGCTACTTTTCTTATTAACAGGTTCCCATCCAAAGTTCTTGATGGCAAGACACCTTTTGAATTGATTTTTGGGGAAACCCCTTCTTATCATTTCTTAAGACATTTTGGTTGCTTATGTTATGCTAATACTTTGAGTCAGGGGAGAGGTAAGTTTGACTCAAGGGCCAGAAGTTGTGCACTTCTGGGCTATCCTATAAATCAGAAAGGTTACAAGTTATTGGACTTGCATACTAAAAAGATTTTCATCTCTAGAGATGTGCATTTTGTTGAGCATATCTTTCCTTTTGCTACTGCACAGTACGTTCCTCCTATTTTTTCAAAACATCTTATTGATTCTGATTTTTTTTCTTCTCCATCTACTCCTCAGACTTCTACCTCTCCTATTTTTCCTTCTTTGGATCCAATTTTGGTATCCTCTCCTCCTTCTAACCTATCTGAACCTGCTGTGGCTTCTCCCACCCCTGTTCCTCCTCTCAGAAGGTCCTCTAGGTCTATATTAGGGAAAACTCCTTCTCATCTGCAATCTTATAACTCTTACTGATGTCACCCATTCCTGTTTCTCATCTACTCACACCCCTTCCACTATTTCTGTTCATACTCTTTCTCAACCTAATCAAACCACCATTCACAACACCTCTCATATCTTAAAACCTACCAGTTATGCACAAGCTTGTTCTCATCCAGGTTGGCTGCAAGCCATGGCTGCTGAACTTGAAGCTTTGCAATCCAACTACACTTGGGATGTGGTTCCTTTGCCTCATGGTCGAAAAGCTTTACCTTGTAAGTGGGTTTACAAAGTTAAGCAACATGTTGATGGTACTTTGGAAAGATTGAAGGCCCGATTGGTTGTGAGAGGTGACATACAACAACATGGGATTGATTTCACTGAAACCTTCTCCCCTGTTGTTAAGATGACCACTATTAGATGTTTGTTGGCTATTGCAGCCAAGAAATCTTGGGACATTTTTCAATTTGATGTCAATAATGCATTTCTTCAAGGTGATTTACAAGAGGAGGTTTATATGAAATTTCCTACAGGTTTGGTTCCTCCTCAACCTAATATGGTTTGCAAACTTCGCAAGTCTCTCTATGGTCTTAAACAGGCTTCTCGGCAGTGGTATGCCAAACTTGCCGGAGCTCTCACTTTTAAGGGTTTCACTGCCTCCCTCAATGACTATTCTTTATTCTTCAAGAGGACAGGTTCTCTTACTACTATTATTGCCGTCTATGTGGACGACATCCTTATTACGGGTGATGATCACCAAGAAATCTCTGCTCTTAAGTTATTTCTTCACTCAGAATTTAAGATCAAGGACCTTGGTCTTTTACACTATTTTTTAGGCCTGGAAATCTTAATGGAACCACATGGTATTATCATCAGTCAAAGGAAATATACCTTGGAGCTTCTACAGGAGTTTGATGTAGCTCATCTTCCACCTGTTTCTTCTCCTTTGGATCCATCTGTCAAATTACTTGCAGATTCAGGGGATTTCATGACAAATCCTACACTATACAGACATCTCATCGGCAAACTTTAACTATTTGACTCATACCCGTCCCGATTTGTCTCATTCCGTTTTGATTCTCAGTCAGTTTATGTAAAAGTCGTGCCTGTCACATTATGATGCTGCTTTGAGAGTGGTGAGTTACCTGCAGCATTGCCCTATTCAAGGTTTGTTCATGTCTCTTTCATCTTCATTTTCCCTCCAAGCTTTTTGTGATGCCGACTGGGCGTCCTGTCGGGATACAAGGAGGTCGATCAGTGGGTTTTTTTATCAATTTGGGCGGTTCATCCATTTCTTGGAAATCTAAGAAATAGGCCTCTGTTTCCCTCTCTTCCGCTGAGGCGGAGTATCGATCTATGCGGCGCCTTGTTGCCGAGTTGACCTGGTTGGTGCGCTTACTCTCTGATCTATCCGTTCCTCCTGACCTTCCAGTCCCAGTTCACTCCGATAGTCAGGCAGCTATCCATATCGTCCGAAATTCGGTCTTTCATGAACGGACCAAACATGTTGATCTCGATTGCCATTTTGTTCGCCAACAGTACTTATCTGGGCTCATCTCACTCTCCTTTGTTCCGTCAAAAGCACAACTGGCTGACCTTCTCACCAAATCTCTCTCTGGTCCTCTCCATCGCTCTCTTCTTCCCAAGATGGGTCTCACTCAGCTCCCCTCCATCTTGCGGGGGGATGTTGGAATTATTGATGATAAACAAGGAAAGGAGACATCAAAGGGAGAAAAGACAAACAAGCAGACAAGAGCTTCATGTTTGGCTTTGATCTCATCGGAAAAGTCTAATCCCTTCATCTGGTCTGAAAAGGACAAAAGGGTGGTACACTCTGGGCTGAAGAATTGTTTTAACATTGGGCTAGCTAAAATCCCACCTCAGATAAAAGAAGTCATCAGACCATTTCGTATAAATGGCCCAATAGACAATAGATATGCATATGGCTGAAATATGCAACATACATACATAGAAAAGGAATAAAGTTTGTTATAGATTAAGCCAATTAATCTTGTACATCTGGCATAGCAGTTAGAATAGAAGGTTCCTTTTATTTCCTCTTTTGTATATAAATATAGGATCAAGAATTGTAAATTGGATCGATCAACATACACAGAAATTTTTCAAGTCCTGTTTGCTTTCTTTCAAGTTAAAAGCTACTACCTCAGTCTACATTTGTTTGCTTTCTTTCATTTTTTTAGTTTAAACTAGTATCTGGATACCTGTGTGTGTTTGGATACGTGTGTTGTGTGTGTTTCATATAATTATTTTTATAAATTTATTAGAATGATTAAAAAAAATTGAAAACATGAGCGTAATGAGCAGTGTTTTAAAAGGTGGGGACGTGAAGCGGGGCGTTTTACTTAGCATAGGGTGAGGTGTACGTCTCCAGACATGGGGCATAAGCTCTATGGATCTTTTTAAATTTTTAATTTACATTATAGTATGATAATATAATAACACAAAATTATAAAAATACATCAATAGTTTAAAATAATTACAAACATGATTAAGGAAACTCATAGAAAATAAAACTTAACATGATTATACAAGTATAAATAATCTAATATCTTAACTTTTTAATTAATAAGAAAAGAATCATTATTTCTAAAAATATATTATTATCCTACTATACAATTTACCCCTAAAAGAAAATAAACAACAAAACTTAGTAGTATTATGATAAAAACATTACTCCGTCATTAATAAAAATAAAATTACTTTCAAATAGCCAAATAAAATATGATAATATTGAGACATGACAAAAACATAATGATCAATGATATGTGAAAAGTAAAATTTCACTATGTATTTTTTTTTAAAATGTTACATATTATAATCACCCTCATAATGCTATCAATAGTACAGATACGACAATTTGTTACTTGAGTTACTCTCTCAATCTTCTTATTTCTATATATTAAAAATAATACATAAGATCTGTGAAGGGATCCCAAGCATTAGATGTTGGCATGCTTAGGGCGTACCGTCCGACTCTTAAGATGTAAGCCTTACAAAACTAAGTCTCACCCTTAGAGAAGTGATTGCATTCCATAAGTTCCTCTGGTGGTCTCTATATTCAAGTTTTAAGCTTTTACCACATCCCAAATGTAGCTTGGGTTTTTGTTTTCGCTGTCATCTTTTTTCCCCTTTGATATGAAACTGACGGTATTTTCATTCATGCCATTGGAAAGTAAAATTATAGACTACACTATAATTGGAATATAAGAAAAATCCATTCTATTGTCTAGTAAACTCACAATTACAACTTTACAAGGCCATCAAACAATCATCATATTCTTTGAGAACGTTTTATGATATTCATTTTCCGGGAACAAAGTTTGTGGCGAAGGCCCAGGCATTGTTGTTAACTGGATCTGCAAGGTGGTCCGCAAGGTTTTCCAATGGACCCTTTCCGGTAACAATAGCTTGAACAAAGAATCCGAACATAGAGAACATAGCAAGTCTGCCGTTTTTTATCTCCTTTACCTTGAGCTCAGCAAATGCCTCTGGATCATCAGCAAGGCCTAATGGGTCAAAGCTTCCACCTGGGTAGAGTGGGTCGACAACCTCACCAAGAGGTCCACCAGCAATACGGTATCCCTCAACGGCTCCCATCAACACAACTTGGCAAGCCCAAATGGCCAAGATGCTTTGTGCATGGACCAAGCTTGGGTTGCCCAAGTAGTCAAGTCCACCCTCGCTGAAGATCTGGGATCCAGCTTTGAACCATACAGCCTCACCAAACTTGACACCGTTACGGGCCAAGAGCTCAGGGAAGACACATCCAAGAGCCCCAAGCATAGCCCATCTGCAGTGGATCACCTCAAGTTCACGGTTCTTGGCAAAGGTTTCAGGGTCTGCTGAAAGTCCAGCAGTATCCCAGCCGTAGTCACCAGGGAATTCACCGGTCAAGTAGCTTGGGGACTCACCAGAGAATGGGCCTAAGTACTTAACACGGTCTGGTCCATACCATGGGCTGCTAGATGGGGCAGACTTTGCGACAGCCTTTCTCATAGTAATCCTTCCATTTCCAGTGATTTCTGAGGCAGAGGGTGAGAGTTTCACCGCCTGTCCAGCAAAAGAAGGGGAAGAAAGAGCCATTGTAGCAGCTGCCATGGTTTATATCAAGAGAAAAGTAAGTGTTTGAAATGTCAAAGTTGGTTGTGATGAAGCTGAAGTTAGTTGGGGTTCAGAATATATAGGAGGTAATTAGAGAGAAATAATCTTCTTATCTAGTGATATCTATATCTATGATATCATTGGGTATCAAGATCTCATGTGTAGAAATTAATACACATTTAGAAATCACCAATCCATCAATTTTCATAGAAGGGACACATTCAATAATGTCCTATCATATGTGGTCACAAGGATCGAATTCTGCCCTGTGATTTGTTGAGCTTACAATATGATATCCCTATCATTATCCACTTTGGCATTTCTCTACATTTTGTCTACCTGCAGGGTAAAAGATACCACCATTATAGTTCATTCAATGTAGAAATATGGTTTAGCAAAATTTGAGGATAAGGTGAAATTTATTACTTCTTTATTCATGAATTTTGGGAAATTAATAATGCATCTTTATACAGAAAGCAATGCTGAGACTTGGAAAGAGCTTGTTCAGAAGATCATGAGTAAATACTTTAATATGTTGGAATTCATCAGCATTACAATATATTGGCTGTGTTAAGACTTGAGAGAAATATAATTCACTAATTGTAGTAAAGATGTTTTTACAGTATCGGTAAATTTTAACATGTGATAGTAGGTCAGTTCCTTAGTCTTACGAGACAACCAATTGGAGTAATGTTTATCAAGGGATTTACCTATAATTACTTTATAAGTAAACTGATTGTATATATTTTTTATATTATTAGTGCATATAGATTAAATTTGTTGCCAATAAGTGTCATGTATAACATTACTTGTCTCTTCTGCTAACTAACTATACAAGTATGTCCTTTGGCTCTGGTCATTACTATGAGCCTTGTTTGGAAGGATCTGTCAAAGATCTTTTAATCTAAAGATGGTACCAGATGTTAGGAAGGATGATTTTACAAGAAATTTATGAATTTGCTCACAGGACACATAATGTAAGGACCTGGAAACTCATAAACTATTACTTAGTATGTTCAGACTACAAAACACATTGGTTTTCCCTTCTCAATGAAATGTCAATGTTGTGGTAGTGAAATGAAACAACGACCTCTTATTTCCTCTTTCACTTCTCGACAGAAAAATGAGGAATCATGTAACAACGCCATGGTGTTCAACATTAGTACTTTACACTAATTTCGAGTATTGCTTCTCGAGAATTAATTGAATTCCATAAGTTCCTCTGATCTGAAAATTCAAGTTTTAAGCTTATAACAGCTTTATAGTTTTTCTAGTTACCACATCTCAATTCTCATATGTATCTTCAATTATTTTTCCTTTCTTCGCCCCTTTGGTATGAAAGTGGCAGTATTTTACGTTCATGGCTTTGGAAAATGTAACTCAGAACTACACAATCATTGGAAATTTGGAATATCAAAAAAAATAAAATCCATTCTATTGTCAAGTAACTCACAACTACTTTACAAGGCCATCAAACAATCAAATTTTAAGATTGTTTAAGATTTTCATTTTCCGGGGACAAAGTTTGTGGCATAAGACCAGGCGTTGTTGTTAACGGGGTCTGCAAGGTGGTCTGCAAGGTTCTCCAATGGACCCTTTCCGGTAACAATGGCTTGAACAAAGAATCCGAACATAGAGAACATAGCAAGTCTGCCGTTCTTGATCTCCTTTACCTTGAGCTCAGCAAATGCCTCTGGGTCTTCAGCAAGGCCTAATGGGTCGAAGCTGCCACCAGGGTAGAGTGGGTCGACAACCTCACCAAGAGGTCCACCAGCAATACGGTATCCCTCAACAGCTCCCATCAGCACAACTTGGCAAGCCCAGATGGCCAAGATGCTCTGTGCATGGACCAAGCTTGGGTTGCCCAAGTAGTCAAGTCCACCCTCGCTGAAAATTTGGGATCCGGCCTTGAACCACACAGCCTCACCAAACTTGACACCATTACGGGCCAAGAGCTCAGGGAAGACACATCCAAGAGCACCAAGCATAGCCCATCTGCAGTGGATCACCTCAAGTTCACGGTTCTTGGCAAAGGTCTCAGGGTCTGCTGAAAGGCCAGCGGTATCCCATCCATAGTCACCAGGGAATTCACCGGTCAAGTAGCTTGGGGACTCACCAGAGAATGGGCCCAAGTACTTAACACGGTCAGGGCCATACCATGGGCTGCTAGATGAGGCAGATTTGGCGACAGCCTTTCTCATAGTGATCCTTCCATTTCCAGTGATTTCTGAGGCAGAGGGTGAGAGTTTCACTGCCTGTCCAGCAAAAGAAGGGGAAGAAAGAGCCATTGTAGAAGCTGCCATGGTTTATGTCAAGAGAAAAGTAAGTGTTTGATGGTATGATATATTGTTGAAGTTGAGATGAAGTTACAAAGGGAATTAATTCACCATATATATAGGGAGTAAGTAAGAGGGAAAGAGTCCTAATTATCTAATGATATCTATATCTATGATCTCATTGGGTATCTAGATCCCATGTGTAGCAATTAATGCAATCTTGCCAATCTCCAATCCATCAATATGTTTATAAGGGGACCCATTTAATATTGTCCTCCTTTGTGTGGCTACAAGGATTGAACTCTACCCTGTGATTTGTTGAGCTTACAATACTAATATCTCTTATCATTATCCACTGGAATTTCTCCAGATTATATCTTTCAGCACTATAGCTCATTCAATCTAGAACTATAATGTAGCCTTTCACTAAACATGTTGCATGAACAAATCGGACACCCTCAGGAAACATATACAGCAGATTCACATATGCAGACAGAACTTCATAAGATTTACATTTGGTTAATAAAAAGAACAATATCAATTAGAATCCCAATACATTAAATCAAGAACCACTAACCAAATACTAAACACCATGCACCAAAATTTCTATCATTGAACTACTAATCAGAACATTTTTAATACATAAAAAAAATTCACACAGAGAGAAATCAGTCAAGAGAACAAGACACTTCGTAAAGGTATTTTAAGTAAAGGTTTATCACCATAACAAGTAAATGTATCTGTGAAGACATGCTACGCCTTGTAACATTTACATGACCACTTGAGGGCATAAGCAACCAAATGAGTAAGACATTTCAGAGAGGGTCAGCAACATCAACAGAAAAGTCACATTCAATTCAAAATAGTACTAAACACAGATATAGCTCGTGGCGAATAACTGAAATCTAAACAGAGTTTTGTGAGATGGGTCCAAGGTAATCACCCTCCAAGCTCACAACTGCTTGGAATTCCTTCTCCGCCTCCACATACCTTGCTCCAACCACGATGAAACGCACCACGGTGTCTTTCTCAATTCTTGACATCTTCTCATTCATAAAGATTGGATTTTCTCCGGGCACATACTTATAATCCGCCATCTTCTGATGAGAGAGGTACACCTTGTCTGTGGGGCCACATCTCAAAAAGACACCATGCTTCAAGATCTTGTCAACAACCCCTTCCAAGATCTCTCCACGGAATATCTTGAAGGTAACACAGCTGAATTCCACAGGGAAAAGCACATCACCAGTGTGTTCTCGAACTTTCCCTTCCCCAATCCTCTCCAATGTAGTGAGAGCCATAAAGTAACCAAGATTTTTTGAGGCCTTCTTGGCAGCAAAGTCATCCATGAGGCGAATAACAATTGCCTTCTGAAGCATTAAGCCCTCAACATCAAGGTTCTCCGCAGGGATTATCACATTCCACGACAACTGAGATTTCAAATACATTTTAAAGGACCTGTCACAAATCAAAACACAGTGGGCTTTATCAAGGGAAATATGAGGCCTTGCAAAGAAACCATGCAGTCACAGCAATTCTAGTATGGAAGTTCAAGAAAAAGTTTTGAATTTCATATGCCAACACCACAAGAAATGCAGTGCACATCTACTGAAATTTATAAATCAGGAGAAGATTTCTAATCCACACAAACACTGTTAAGGTGCAAAAGGTACTGGGTATGGAACTGCAAGAGGCAGAATGGTACAAGGATTTGGACGTGGTGTTCTTAACTAGCAGTATCAGTCATCTTCCCCTCATATAAGTTGCAGATATTGACTTGAAACCTCACCGGCAAACATAGGAGACTACACGAGTTCACTCCTCTGAGATAAGACTTTATCAGCTCATACGAGAATACAGCAATCAGGCTGTTGCAACATCGTCATTAATAAGATAATACAACCCCCCACCCCCACCCCACCCCACCCCACCCCAGAAGAAAAAAACTCTAATAAGAGTATTTACACCGATTTGAAACTCTTCTAACGCTGCTAACCCAACCATTGGAGGTAGAATGGTGAAATAGAGTTTCCCACCGACAAAGAAAGAATTTTTCAAATTATCAAATGCTTTTAGAAGCCAACTGCAGGTAAGTGTCTATGCCCAGCATGAGTGGGTGACAACAACAACAACATACCCTTTGTAATTCCACAAGCGGGGTTTAAGAAGGGTAGTGTGCACCTAGACCTTATCCAAGGTAGAGAGGCTGCTTCCGATAGACCTCGGCTCAAGTAAAAACATATCACCCAGCACAAATTGGTAACTTAAGAAAAGAGGGGGGTAAAATCTTTTAGGACCAGTCAAATTATACTTACAAATTACATTGTTAAGTAGATAAAACTTAAATTCGCAATGAATAATATACATATCCCCCTAGGTTTTGGGCAACATGTGAAAATCAACCTACCAAATTCCCCATATTTCAATCAGCTTCCGTTACGAGAGTTAATAATGCAAAATGCATAGGCATTTCACGGAGGCAATGACAGTTATATAAGAGTAAACTTAGATAAAAAAATGGAAGCACCGAATGACCTAAAACAATACGATTAGGAAAACTTTCAATGACTAGGGTAAAATCTGCAGGGTTTCTGAAACAATGTGACTAAAAGCTAAATTGGGACTTCACTTTTGCTTTTAAGCTTCTAAAGAGTGCGGAACAGTGATGGAGGAAACTAAAATTTATGTTACCGTAGACACAGCATTGCATGATCGGAAAGTAACAAATAAAGGAAACAATTTGAAAAAAATCTGAACATAGAAAAGAAAAAAAAAAAAGCATAAGAAAAAGAACCGACGATGGCGGAGGCACTGTAGTGGGACTAACCTTTGGTGGACAGCCCGGCGACGGCGACGGCGACGGAGAAGGTGAGGTACGGGAAGTTTAGGAAATTGGGTTCAGCTCACTTGTGTGACTTGGTGATACGTTTTTAGTCCACAAAGTTGTGTTTTTTTTCAGTTTAACCCCCTTTTTTTCATTGATAGTCTTAATTAGTAGCAACGAGTATAGTTGTGAATATGGCTGTTTATACAGCTTACAGGTTAACTAGTTATTTCTTTCGAAAACAGTGTTTCTACCCACACAAAGTAAGCGTATGTTGTTTAATAAATGTTCTCGAACCAATTGTCGACTCAAATGGAAAACTAAACAGGTGCCATCAGAGAGTTGTTAATATCAAAAGATCATATCATCTTTCAAATCTCTTGCATAATTCAAAACTGATGGCATTGTTGTTTAACCAAGCTATGAAGGTCCAAGCTAATTTAAGGAGTGAAAAGTTAAAATGTTCATTGCTATGAAACTACAAGCTAAAGATTATTAGTACATAAAAGAATTGACAATTGTTCCTCTCTCGCTGCGCCAAGCAAGTCGCCCACACGGAAATGAAAGAAACAGCCACTGTGTATCACATTAATCCCCTATATTACTCCAGAAGTTTGCTCTAGCTAAACTGAGCTGAATTAAGGCTTGAATGCAGAAAAGGCGACGACAGAGTTGTGACCACCAAAACCAAAGGAATTGGAAATTGCTGCATATGTAAGAAATTGATGTTATGTTGGAAGTTTTTCAATTATTCATGAGAATGTTTATTTGTGAAAATATAATATGGTGCTATAATTTGAAGTCTATCTTACCAACATTCACTTCATGCTGCTGTTTTTTGTTTGGAACAGTATCAAACTCCACTGAAGGCTCAGGATTCTGCAATATTCATTACAATTAGAGATTTGCAAATGAAGAATGAGCATAGCAATTGACATTTGATATGCAAGTTTGAAAATATAGAACAACTCACGAATTGGTTAATTGAAGGATGCACCCAGCCGGTTGTAATAGCTTTAATTGTTGCGATAGCTTCCAGACCACCAGCAGCACCGAGGCAATGCCCTATCATAGACTGGAACAATATGGGGAAAAAACTTAAACATGAACATACTGCCAAATACACTGATAAATTCGAATAAATGAAGAGATGCATTACAATGTAGACAGAATTACCTTGGTTGCATTCATTTTGATTCCTGAGGTGGTCTTGAAAACCTTCTTGACAGCATTTATTTCGGCTAGATCACCAACAATGGTGGAAGTTGCATGAGCATTAATGTAGTTAACCTAAAAAGAAAAATGGAAGATCAATCCAGTAATCAAACCCAACTTTAACTTTTAGCAAAATCTACCCAAAACATTCTGTACCTGTTACCAAAGACTATAACACATTATCAAAAGCTGAATGTTTCAAGTATCCACTTAAACTAGGTTCTAAAGTTCTGGATGATCAAAATAAAGAGACAATTTCACTTTCAGCCGTTTCGTCATCAACAACAGCAACAACAAAAAAGAAGGTCAATCCAAACTAGTGGCTTCCGGCCATATGAATTCTCAATATGCCGTTCTGCTTGAACATCTTAAATAGGATTACTGAAAGGACAATTCTAGGGTACTATCGAAATGTGAATGTGTGACTATTAATTCATCAACAGATATCATGCTGATTCTAGACAATTGCTGTATGTTAAGGCATTCTCTTGTGCTTTGAAGCAAAGTCAGTGTCATGGCTCAAGATCAACAAATAAAATGTGGGCTCAGTAGTGAGAGAAGTTGAGAACAAGGATGGTTTGGCCCACAATGTTACCATGTAGCATCAGTGATTGCCTTCCGTGCCACTTGTAAATATAGTGCATACTGAAACCAGGCAGTTCAAAGATCCCAAAAGAGATTAGTGGGTTGGATATATATCTGGAGGCAAACTTTCACCTTGTTGCGTGAAAAGAAGTAACACAGCGAGGTGAGAAGGTTGGTATTGTTAAAATCAGATCTGAGAAGAAGACACTAAAGCTCCAGAGAGGGGGAGTGGTATCTAGGATGAATTCTACAAGCATTTTAGGTGCATTGTGGTTAATGGTGAAAGAATCCAGATTTTTCTGATCGCCAGCAGTTTGAACATGCGCCTTTGATGATTAAAATTGAATAGTAACCTTTCCTTTACTCTCAATAAAGGATGTCTTTATCTAGTAAAGAGAGAGGGGAGTAATCTTTACTTGGAATCTGAAATTTAGAATAAACCTCATATGGGAGGTAGCATTTTTTCTCAAAGAGACAACGGGACATGGATGAGAGAGTCTATGCACATAAAATTGACATGGAAAAGACTATGATGTCACAAGTAGTTGTTTTTTAACTATTAAAGAATGAAGATTCACTCGTTGCACAATATCTTCCATTCAGCCTAAAACAAAACACACACAAAAATGTCCTACAACAAGGCCCATGTAACATGAAAAGAAATCTCTTTCATGTCAATAGTTTACTATCTTCACTGTAACCTTTTCCCAACAACAGAAGAATTCTAAGAAGCAAAAGTATGAGATATGACGGATCTTGGGTTTGGTAGCCCCAAGATAACATTTTGATAAGTTTTCAAATTTTTAACAGAAAACATCTGGAGCGATTTGCTCTTTCCAGCATGTCTTTTACCCTCTCTTTGACTATTGAGTAGACAATGAGAGTATAACCTCAACTGCTTGTAGAGGGAAGTAAATACCTCTTCTGGTGACACTCCAGCATCTTCAAGGCTGCTAAGAATACATGAAGAAACACCAAGACCATCAGCTCGGGGATCAGTCATGTGATAAGCATCACAATTAACTGCACCACCCAAATACTCTGCAATTATTGGTGCTCCTCGTTTCATTGCATGCTCCAAACTTTCCATCACCTGCCAAGAATGTCATTCAATTTTCATAATAACTTTCCAACCGGTGAGTAGATTGTATTAAAGTGACAGAAATCTCTAGTGCTTAATCTAATTATGCAGTCTACCGTGCAATGAAAGAAAGACCAGCAATTCATGGATAGCAGTTTATTGCATATTTAGTTGCTTCGGGATTGGAATCAACTTATGAAAAAGCAAACTACATTGGACTACACATAACTTTTGCTCAAACTAGCTTAGATGCACTTCCTATGACCAAAATATGAGAATCACTAGGAAGCTTACCAAGATTCCAGCCCCCTCTCCCATAACAAATCCATCTCTATCTTTGTCCCATGGTCTGGAAGCAGTTTGTGGATCATCATTCCTTTGAGACAAAGCTCTGCATGCCACAAAACCTCCTAAACCAATAGGTATCATGGCAGCTTCAGTTCCACCAGCAAGCATCAAATCAGCTTCACCTCTGCGAATATGATTTGCGGCAGCATAAAAACAGTAATTGGAGGTAGCACAAGCAGTTGAGATTGAGTAGTTTGGTCCCATAAAACCTAGATCAATACCAAGCAAAGCAGAACCCATGTTTGTTATGGCATATGGTATAAAAAATGGAGTAATTTTCCTATGACCCTTTTCAATTAAATTCTGGACGCCATCTGAGAAAACCGTAAGACCACCCATTCCTGTTCCTACAAGAACACCTGCTCGCTCCTTATCAATCTGCAGGAAGAACATAAATAAACAACCTGGAGTCATGTACTGCAGAAAAGAAACAAATCTAGAAAAACAATGAAGTCTGAACAAATAGCTATGCTAAATATTCACGTCAACACTTTTCAAATGCACTAATGACAAATTTGTATTGTGGGGAACAGTATTTTTTATTGTTTCTGGTATTCCAAAATGCACTGGCAAGACTCAGACTTTTACACAATTATGGTCTCTAAGACATCATGAAAGCCCAATTCCAGCATTTTGGTGAAACTAGATATGAAATACAAGCAATAAATGGCATAAAACCAGCTAAAATACCAAAACAAACACAATCAGCTAGCAATTTTCTCCAAATTCTCCACATCTCCAAATAAAATGATCGAAATGAACAAAACATCCAAGCCGAAAGCACATCATGCAAGCCCCATTCCAGCAAATTCATCATACCAAAAAAGAAAAACAGAAAATCTTCACAGATATAACCAAATCGAAATAGCAAAAGAACGAAAAGAAAAGCCGAACCTTTTCTAATCTATCACCCCCAAGATCTGCATTTTCCAAAGCTTTCTTGCCAGCAACAATGGCATACCTTAAACAATCATCAAGCCTCCTATCATTCTTCCCATCAATATACCCTTCAGATGTAAACCCACGAATTTGTCCCCCAAATCTTGTAGGAAACTTAGAAGCATCAAAACGATCAATAAGCGAAATCCCACTTTCACCAGCCAAAAGTCTTTCATAGTAAGTATCGACATCATTCCCGAACACAGAAACAAGACCCGTCCCAGTTATAACAACCCTTTTCTTTGGGTCTTTCTCTCTTTTGGGAGCAGAAACAGTGGATGCAGAAGCTGATATAATAAAAGGCACTCTTTTAGCACCCAATGACCTTACATTGGTGAATTGGGGCATGTTTTTTCGAAGAGGATCGAGTGGAGATGGACGAAATGATAGAGATTGCATTGCTTCCATTGTTAACTGAAATGGGTTTTGAGATTTGAGGTGGCGGAGCAAGAAGAAGAAGAAGAAGCAGAAGCAGAAGTAGAAGCAAAAAGCTTTTCGATGTGAACGATGTGAGTGTATTACTATTTTTAGAGAGAGAGAAAGGGGGAGTGTGTTTTGTGCTTCTACAGCAAGAGAGAGAGAGAGACCAAGTCACAACCAAAATGTGTATAACTAATTTAAATAGAGGATGTTTTTGTGTTACCCACCCCTTCATTCCTGATTTGATTAAAAAACGATTCAAATTAAAATTAATAAAACAAATGAATTAAACTAACAAATTCAAACATCTTGTTTTTTCCCTTAATTTTTTTTATTTTGATATGTTATTGTGCTATTAGTTCTGGATAGAAGCATGTCTAATTTGTGTCCGAGTAGATTTGGCTTTTTTGGAACTTTTAGACTTTGTTTGGATGGGTTGTTATGTATTGTTTCATAATGTATTGTATTATATCGTACTCTATTATTTTAATGAATACAATGTTTGAATAGATTGTATCGTTTTCCGTCGTTATATTA